AACAAAGTCGCCACCTCCTCGATGTGGCATTTGCACCCGGACTTCTACTTCAGATTCCAGTGTGGAGTTGGAAGCCAAATTAGTCTGTGTTGTGCGTCACGCGGTTCCTTCCGGACTCGGTCTCTTCCTGAATCTTGACGTGCTGTCGGAACTGACTCCTGGAGACTGGCTTAGTTTTGCCATGTTTGTAACCCTGCTTTGTTCATTTGTCTGTGGGTGGCAAGGAAGTGGACCGTCACAGACAGCGAGACGGACTACCGCTGCTCGGGTAGATTGTGTTTTGAGAACTCATCACTACTGCTGGTACTTGTTTTCTGTTGGTCCATTCTAAGACCAAGGCCATTGATTTGCTGCGAGCAGCCTGTGCATTTTGGTATGACTAGCTTGGTTGCTTTGTGCTGCACATAGCTCGGGACACTCATCTTGCAAACTCTATGCGTCTTTGTCTTCCGAAGAAGGTAGTCCTTCTGAAAGCTCTAGTCTCAACTAGCCTTTTCGTCAGTTGCCCGTCGCAGCCATCCTGCAGTATATCATGCTTCCGTTTCAGAGGTGTCAAATTACAAACACCACTTCTGGCGCTGTACCCCGCACCGTAGGACGCGTTGGCTTGAGAGCAGTTTGGTGCTGGAAGGTTGCATCCAAGAAGGCTCCAGCTCTCTCTACAACCATTTCCAGAACAACCGCGACTCGACAAAGCTAGTTTTGTTTATGGTCTTCGCAAGACATCTCACCATTGCATATGTCATTGGGTCTTCGCCCCTGGACCCTAATGTGGCGGACCCGTAAACATTTGCGGAATTATGCAGGGTTGTCGGTGCTTGTCTCAGAGCTCAGCCTGCGCTGGCCAGGGCGTGGTACTTGAACCAAGTCGCTGCAAGCTGTGGACAAGCCTCTCCAGACGAGCTTGACGGTAGGTCTGTGCATTTTCAAGTGACGACCCCCCGAAACCAAAGCCTTGCTACGCAGGGTCAACGAACAAATCCCGAAGCCCAACATAGCCCCACACCTTAGACTAGAGCGTTGAAGGTCTTAGGTTCACAGGTTTACGCTCGAGGTCGTTGTTCGCTCTGACGTGCGCACACGAATCACGTACTCGTCTCTGGCGTTAAGATCTGCTTCGGGCTCTTGGGCATCGATCTGCCGTGATTCTGATCCATGACATCTCTCCCACCCTCCATGCAAAGCATAGCATAACTAAATCCCTTCGGAAGTCTATGGATAGACCGAGGTTTCTTCGGAATTTGTTTCTTTTTAGAAGGACTTCGTGGACGGAGTTCGAACTGTTTGCATGACAAGACCAAATGCTGCGGTAGTGCCTTCATGGGCCTTTGTCTACCTGCATGTAACTTAAACAAGACATGAACATGACCTACATACATACTTCTTCCCACGCGGCAAAAAGATGTCCTTGCGATGCTTCTCATTTGACACACGTCTTTGATGTGCGGCTCTTCTGATGAGAGCTGATGCAAAAGCATGCCACTTCTACCAGCCGGCCCGAAGGCCCAAGCGCTGGCGACGGAAGCAAGCTCCATTAATTAAATTGGCCGAGCCTGGTATACACATCCAAGTAGGCATTTCCTTGTATGAGTTTCGTGTGCTTTGGTCTGACTTGGATGGCAGCTTTGTTTTCATCGTGTCATCGTGGAATAAGCAACAGCTGTGACGACAGCTGATTGCTTTGAAATGTCCACTATTGCGACTCTGGCTCAGATGGACTACTATGGCTTGCAGCTGGTTCCCGCTGTTCAGCGCATGCGGAAGAGCCTGAGAGTTCCAGCTACTTACCAGTTGCTGCCGGCATACAGGCTTGTTGTCTGAAGCTGCAACCACGGGCAAAGACAAAAGAAGGGGCCAGGTTGGGCCACAGTCAACTACCTGAACAGTTCGTTCAATAACCCGGGCCTGCCAGCTACCAGAAAAGAAACTCTGTTGAACAATGCCTGCTTCATCGAGCAGATGATTGGCAAAATCAACAGCATCAGGCTGCTCAAGTGGCCTGGGCCATTGGGTAAAGGCACGCCTCCATGGGAGTGCTTGTGCAAGGTCAATCGGGTGCCTGGCCTTAGCTCGCTGGAGCAGGCATTGCACATCCTGCTTCTGCACAAGCAGCGACGTCACCAGCTTTACCTCCGCGTCCGGGAGCCCTATGCAGTCCAAACCATGCAGAAGACATGCCGGTATGCATGCAGTCCAAAGACGCATCCGGAGGCCGAACGGAACAGCCTGGTACTGCACTCAACACGGACTTCAGCCGAGCAAATTGACCCTGGGCGAGGACAACTCTATGTGTAGCGTCTGTGGCGGAGGCGGTCCGAAGTCCGAAGGGGCCTGTTCCCATTGCTGGGGAGGCCGACTCCAGCAGCACTTCTTCCATCGAGTCCTCGTCCTCTGACGCCATGCCCTGGCGCGGCTGAGGTGCGCAGCTGGATTTCGAGCCTGCTGAATCAGTCGAACGTCATCACGACTGCCAGCCATGGAGTTGGGCCCTTTGTGCTGTGCCCTGAGGAGGACCTGTATGAGGCAAAGCTCGAGCTCGTACACAGTGTATCCAATCATGCTTGCAAATATATACCCCGGAAACAGACATGTCTGAAGCGCCTGGGCCATCTGCAGAACTGCCCTCCTGCAGAAACCTTGTTGGAGCCTGCAGAACCTTCGGACTGGCCTTTGCACTGTGAACCAAGCTCGCTGCTCAATGGCCCTGTTCATTGCTGCTGCTATGCTAGTCCATGGTCTCCAGGGCCGGGCAGAGGTACCGGCACACATTACACAGCATGGCTACCCCTGCTCAAGAACGTATAGGCACTTCCTGTGCCCTAGCAGTAACCACCCATCAAGCCAGATGCAGAACGCCCCTGCTGTTTCCCGTCTACGGCTGAGTGCTTTCTGCCGGCGGCGCAGGTCTTGTAGGGGAAGTTGCCCCCACTGAATGGTGAGCTGTCCCAGGACAAGATATGCTACTGCGTTACGCAGATAATCGTGAAGAAGCCTGCAGGCAGGAATGTGAATCTTTTGGCACCATGTGGCGCCGCAATGTCTATGTCCGTGGCGCGGCCATGTACTGAAAAGCGAAGCCAATGCCAGCCACCCCAAGCGGCACAAGATCTGCAAGCTTCGTCAACAGCCCCCAACGCACACCAGCCAGTCCCACAGCCCTGTTCAATCCCTCTCTTCTCGTTTGACCAGCTTGCTCCTCATCATGGAGCCGAGATGCTTTTTCGCACGTACATACATACTTACTTACATATATTACATAGACATGACATACATGACATGCTTTATACTAAGTATATTCATTACATACATTACATACACTACATGCATCCTTACTTACCCACATTGTTTTTCATATTTTACCTACCTACCTACCTACCTACCTACCTACCTACCTACCTACCTACATACATACATACATACATAATACATTGTATGGCATTACCTTACGTTACATTGCATTACATAAATGTATTCATACATTCTTTCATACATACAGACATAACAATATATGTCTATCTAGTATACAGTATACTCTGCATATATATATATACATGCATATTACAGATGTAGTCTTTGGCATGCAGGCACGTCATGCACCGGCGCATGTGTACTCATCTGCATCACTAGCACGTATGCCATTGTACATGAGTGCATCCATCGGCTTGATACCTGCATATGGACGTGTCTGTGACACATACACACTTCTACATCCACACGTGCATGGTCTACACGTCTGCATGCTTGCCTACACAACGAAGGCTTAGTCATGCAGTCCGGCCTGTCGTCATTTTTAAACTCGGACATACCTAGGGCAACGCTTTTTGCAGACACTTGGGAAAGCTCCGGCAGCCCAGGTGAGCTGACGACGAAAGTTTGCCTCACTCGCAATCTGCGAAGGCCCAGCTCAAGATCTCTTGCAACCCTCGATCGATGGGAGCTTCCACACTCGGCATGCGTCGATTGCCCACCAGGCTTCGGCTCCCGACCGAAACACTGACGAATGATGCTAAAGCGGGATGCAACCAATCGTCGATGTGATGATTGCTTGTCCCAGGCTTGCTTACGAGGAGCAGGTGGACATTGACACTTTCTTCCCGCGGTCTTATGTGACTCGGGCCCTTATCCAGGGCCTGTGACCTTCTGGTACAGGGGGATAGTTCTGTCTCACTTATGGCTCAGCATTGAGGAGTTCACGCTTGGCGTTTTTGGGAAGTAGCTATGGATAGGGTGTACAGGACAGGAAGGGTACGGTTTTCTCAAGCTTCCACCTTTGCACCATTGACCCTCGAGTTTGCGAAACATGAAGGCTCGGGGCCGAGGTCTCCGCAAACATGAATTGCAGGTACCTGCATCTTGCCAGTGCAACAAAAGCCTTCAAGCTGACCATCTCTTGACCAGCACACCGACCGATGCCAAGCCATGAGGGAAGCGCTTTCCCAGGACATGGGCTCTCCAAGCGAGGTGGAGGAGTCTATGCAATGCATCCATACAAGCACAGATGTATGAAGTATCTGGTTGCTCACCAGCCTGTGTCAGTCTCAGCCGCCGGGCCACATGAATTTCAGGACTTAATTCTCGACTTTCGCCGCTCCGCAGCTCTCAATGTTGCTTGGCACAGAGGTCAGCGCTCGCGGCACTGAGCTAACATTGTCCACGTCTCAGGTGTTGAGCGCCAGCGCCGTGGTCCAGAGTATAGTACTTGATCTTGCTGCCCAAGCCGGCTTATGTATTCCCTTGCGCTTTGCGGCAGCCTTTGCACGCAAGGGAGAATCCCTAAACTCAGCTGAGACCGAACCTGCCATGCCTGCGTGTGCGAGTGTGTGAGTCGAAACTCAGGAAGCAAAAACGCGTCCAAACATAAACTTGTGGGCGTGAAATCCCTACTTTTGTGGATTCTTCAAGAAGGGGGTATCCCAACCTTGTGGTTTCTGTTGAGGTGCGTTTGTGTGTCCGTTTAAATCTTCATGGCCCCCGTCACCGAAGCCCAAGCCGAAGCCTAGGTTCTGCGACAGCACCTTCGCCTGGCCGAGCAGGCAGCCGATCGGAGGCGGAGGTGGGCCGGCGGCAGCAGTGGTTAGCTTGCAAGATTCAGCTTTCTGCTCGTGGTTTATGGTTGTGACTTCAGTCAGGATTTCACCCGCAGGGCGCGGATTCGGGGTCCAGCGATGAGCAAAATTTCAGCTCGGAACCTGCAGGTCTTCCGCTAAGGATGACGGCTTGACCCAAGTCTGCTACAGCCGAGCCTTGAGCCCCCCCCACCAAGGCCTCCCCAGAATTGCGTGGGCTTTTAGAAACTTAAGGCTCCCCGGCTCGCCCCCCCCTTTCCCCCACCCCGACAGGTATGAGCAGGAGCCATTCTTCAATGCTCCGGGCTATCTTTGCAACATCACAGTATTGAGGCCGGGCAACTCGGGGCGATGGCAGAGGACCAAAGAACCCTGCTTTGTAAATGCTCAGACAGAGTTGCGACCAGGGCTGAGATTGAGTTGAAAGCTCTCGTCGGCAGGTTGAGGGCTGAATCACCTGCGAGATCTTTCGACAAGAGTTCAAGCCTTGTTGGATTGAGGGCTTATTGCTTGCTCGAGGATTCACGGCACGGCTAGTTTTGTCTTTTGAAGAGTCCAGAGTTTGAGCTGTATGTGTCGGGCTTCCATTGGTAAGGTTTGCAAGTTCAGGCAGGAAGGACTCGGCAAAGGGGCCACTATGTCGGAACCGTGGACCCATGCGATTTGGCAGCGCTTTTTAGATGCCCAGATCTTTTGTTTCACGGTGTGGTCGCGGAGCTGCCACTGGGTGTTCCGAAAATTCGCAACATCGGTCGCGGTTGGGCTTCCTTGCCATGGCACTGGCTCGTTGTTGGGGAAGAAGACATAGACTGTCTGCGAGGTGTCTTTCTATCCGAGTGGGTTGAATCTACTATCTATGACCCGATGTCCGCAGCTGGCTCTGCAGGGGCGGCCCTGCAAGAGTGTAAGTCTTCCCGCGAGCCTTCAGTGTTGTCTGGCCGAGACATGTGTCACGCTTAAGTAATCGAGTCGTCGATTGGTGGCAAAACGTGCCACAAGGGTCCGAGTAAAGAACCACAAGTTCCTTGCACCTCCAACCCAACGAAGAGGCTTCAACCATGGCCTTCTCGATACGCATAACGGAGCCCATTGCTTCATCCTTTGAATAACCCGTGATGTCACGGGTTGGGCCATCCGTTGACAGTCTGGGGTAGTTTGTTTGTGACGGCGGTGCCAGGCATGCAGTGAGAGCGCTGGAACACTGGCTGGATGATTTGGATGGCTCCTATTTCGAGGTGATGCGTGGGAAGCGGTTCCGCGTAACGAGGTTGCGGTGTCTTGCCGAGTCTGGCTGAACTTATGCACTAGACTTGTGGCCAGTGCATCGTTCTATTCTCACTTGACTTGGGTGTCGGATCGGATGTTTGCATTCCTCCTTGGGTTGAGAGCGTTCGAGCTTCGTTGCTGCTAGTCCGGCGGCATGCTAGTAACTGCTAGTAACTCTGCTAGTATTCATGCTGTGGGAGCTGTGCGAGATGTTTTTGTTGGCCGCCTTCTGGAAAGAGTGTTGTCCCAGATGGTCTGTGGCGTTTGTTAAACTAGGTGCGTGCATCGTGCCACATACTTGCTTGTCCAAAAGCATTTAAGTACGGCCAGCACCTCAATCAGCGCCGACTGACATGCGCCCCGCAAGACATCATCCTGCGCCTAGGCTCCTACATAAGACCACAGACAACCGTTTCTTGAAGAGGACGACCAGTACGACTTGGGCCGGAGGCAGCTGTACTCCGAGGCTACATCCATGAAAATGCCCGGAATGTCAGAGTGTGTGTTTCCTTTTAGGGTCTGAAGTTCGGATCTGTGGTTACCTTCCCAGGGTCGTCACACTTATCTAAGCCGGCCGAGGATGTGGAAGGCGGCGAGACTGAAGCCTTGAGTGTCGGGCCTTAATGACTTGTGAAATCGACATCGAAACGGTCTTAGGAACGATTTAAGCAGGGAGGCAGCCTTGGAGGCATCTCTGCGGATCTTGGGCCTCTATGCAACAACAAGATTTGCCTAGCTACAGCTTGAGCCCAAGAAACTTCTTCGTGGCTGCCAGCCCATGAAGCATGACGCAAAGTCCTACGAAGATATCCAAAGCCCTATATACTCCAAGAAGATTGAAGCTCGCGAAAGCTATACCAGAAACCGACAGGAATGGGATGCCGTGGTCTTGTACTCGGAGCTTTCCGAGGCTCCCAGCGCTACTGCGGTTGAGACTGCCACGACCGTCTCAAGATCGGGGTTCAGGATGTTCGGTGCTCAGATAATACAGACCTCGGTACTAGAAGGCAAGCCGCGGACAGCCACACATTACGCTCGTACCAGAGGACAGACGCAAACGTACAGGACTGTACCGGGCTACACCCATCTACAGTCGAAAGCAGGAAAGCAGGGGCGATCATCACAAAGTAAAGTGATTCACTCTTCTGGTTGCGGCACTCGAATAAAGAGTGGCGGGGGCTGTAGCTGCCATAGATGCCATAGAAAGCAAAGAAGCCGGGAATCAACGGCGCACAGGTCTTACTAGTTCTCGTTCCGGTGCGTTCCGCAGGCTTCTTTCGAGTTTTGGGTTTCTTTGTTTCAAAGGGAAGGAGCCTGGCTGTAGTGTGCTACTACGGCGGCTATAGCAGTTCAACTGCCAGCTACCTCCTTTCCTGCGTCTTTTCCGGGGAGGGGCATGTGCGTTTGCTAGCAGCGCCACTTATCTATCTTGGTTCGCAGATGGGAGCCGTCTCCCCGGTTTCCGAGTTTTTGCAGAGCAGGCAGGTGAAATCTTGTGTTGTCCGTTTCGTCTTCTTTGAAGACATGCGTCAGGCCTGCATGTTGCTTGTTTGATTTGTCCAAGCCTGAAATGAAAATGAAACCCCAATACTCTTCCCAGTGCTTGTGCTGAACCAACCTGGTCGTCGGAGGCATGCCGTCGACACCCCAAGTCTGGCCCAACTAAATTTGGGCCCTTGCCAACCACACATGCGACTTAGCACCTACAGCGAGAAACCCGCTGAAAAACGACATGCGCTTGATTCCATTCCGCTTGACGCTCAGCGAAGAACTTAGAAGCCTGCGGTGCCTGCGGTGCCGCGGTCAGGCCCAGCTCTGTCAGCTGGACGAGGCCGAGGAGCGAAAGGAACGAAGCCGCCGGCTGGCCGAGCAAAGGAGTGAGGCTTTAAAGTTTGGAGTCGAGGCACTGTTCTAGAATGTTGTAGATGTGCTTCGAGGTCTTCCTGCCTTAACTCAGGAGAGATTACTACTCTAAGGGACCTTTTAAGTGGAATGAGGGGTTTCGGGATGTCGCGCTCTGGCAAGCGTGGGGTAACAGCTTTGTTCGCACCTTTGCCTTGGCGAAAAGTCTGGCGTAGCATGCAGACCAGGGTGCGAAGAAGCTTTACACATCAAGCGAGATGGGTGGGTGACAGAAGCTACGGGACTCTCACTGTAGACTTTCCGGATGAGCTTTCTGCCGGTTTGTTTGGTATATCCCCGCATCTATAGGGTTTGTCAAAGGCACGAAGCTCTAGCAGTAATACCCGCAGGTTTGTGGGCTGAAGGGTGGGCAACTAGAGCTGCTCCGGCTCAACGGACGCCGAGCACCCGGAATCATTGCTTGTCTCGGGGGATCTCGTTCAACTTCGCGTGGCGCCTACATCACTTGCACTTTGAACCTTGGACCGGGAAACATGTCAACTGGATCGTTACTCCCTTCTTCCACACTGTCAGGAAGAGCGAGACAGAGAAAGAGAGAGAGTGTGTGTGTGTGTGTGTGTGCGCGTGCGCGTGGGGAGGGGAGGTGTCGGAGCATGGCTCGCTGGAGGTTGAAGCCCGAATCGGCCCAAGCACCATTCGAGCCACTAGAGGGTTGCGATGCCTTATGGTTCCAGTGCAGTAGGAAGCCTCAGGTGGCTACTCTGCTTCCGGCGCCCTGGCGCATCGAAAGCCTGGTGAGCGTTATGCACGGCCCAAGGACACAGTGCCCCAAAACTGGATCATGCAATTTGAGGGTAGGTTTTGCGGATTTCCAGAGCTGTGTTTACCCCCGAGGCTGACGTGGGTATCTGAGAGTGTGGGTGAAATCGGGCCGCCCCGCCTCTTCATATTTAAACTTCCTGCAGCAAATTGGCTTTTTCAGGAACTGGATCTTTGGTTGAGGGAGTTTAGGGTCAACTGTGAGACTGCTCCAGAAGCTGATCCTCCCCTTCCCCCTCCTCGCTCCAGACCATGAACCCTGTACGGCGTACGGCACAGGGCGTAGTCCTTTAATTCTGAATGCCCTAGCCCTTCAGTGGCTGAAGCATCGCCTGAGCAATCAGACGTGTGCAGGCACTCCTCACAAGCATGTTTGCTTCGAGAGTCCATCTTGAAAGCACCTGTTGACAATCTGACCGCATTGCACGCTGTCGTGTGGTACCCGAGGCCGCTTCTCACCTAAGCTAGCAGCTAACTGAAGACCCCCCCCTCCCCGCAGCAGCCAGGAGCCACAGAAGTGGCCGGAGTCTCGAAGCCGCATTTCGAGGAGATTTGTACTAGTAGTTCAATCCCGAAGCCCCGTAGCCTACAATGAGAGAAACTTTTAAAACCAGCTGCTAAATCCTGACACTCAGAGCTTGATTTATAAGTTCTGCTCGGCGAGATGCTTGGTGCTGAAGCCTCAAATCTTTTGCGTGGCTGATGTGATGAAACTGTGCAGTTGAGGGAAGAGCGCAAAGTCCGAGATGGGTGCTTGCATTCAGGCTTCATAGGTTTTGGCATGGTAGCTTCAGGTATCGGCTTCGAAGGTGCGTGAAACGGGGTCGTGTGACAGATCGTCAGATCTGCAAGTGTGCCCAAACAGATCAGAGGGCTTCGGGTTTAGGCTTCAGGGTTTAAGGGTTTGTGATGTAACCTGTGGTTCTCTGTTCCGGCCCCCCCGATCCAAAACACCTCACGGCCTGATCCGTGATAAATGAGCTAATTGGCGGGCTTACCTGCCGCCAAACCCCAAAGCCTAAACCCCGACTTGTGCTGAGTGAATGTTTCAGCTGATTTCGAAGGGCCGTTGCGGTGTCTTCTGCTGATCTTGCCGTTTCCGGTCGTCTAGGAACTCTTCTCTTAGAGCGCGGCCATGGGCAACCGTTACTGTTGCCGAAGCCAGGAGTGAAATTGCGGCTTCGGGTTGGAGGATTACGTCGTGGGTGTGGAGTGGGGGGTTGCAGTCTTTTGGGACCGCAAGGTTGGAAATTTACAGATCCACCTGTCCATGTACATTTCATTTGCAGGCTCCGGAGCCATGTCTGGTGCCCCTTTGCTCCTGCGGAGCTGGATGCAGCCGCCACAAAAGCCGTAGCGCTTTTGGAGGCTCGCTGTTATTTTCTTCAGACTGTTGGAGACAGAAATTAAATTTGCTTCCGGGCATGGGCTGCAGTTGTCTGGCTTGCATGGAGACCAGATGCACAAGAATGACTTCGTGTCGCAATGTGGGCTTGATTGGAATTTAGGACATGGGATGGGGTGAGGCAAGCAACTGAAGGTGATTGTCCCACTGGTTTGAACATCATGTGACCCGGGCCCATTGAAGCATAAAGCCCCGAGCTCAGAATCCCCTAAAGTCCTAGAGCCTGAAGCGACGCCTTCATCCGAGAACATGCCTGAAGCCCGGCGGCAAACAGGCGAGATGGCCACAGGTGTCCACCCAAGGCTGCATGAATGTTTGGGCTCCTTCGGCTGCACCACACACAGGGCTCAATTGGATTCGATGTGTGCGTGCAAAGCGGGTGAAATATGCCCTCGGGCTCGCGATGCTTATTTGCTCAAGAAGGGTGGTTCCAAACGCTCATGTCTCGCATTGAAAGCCTGAGATTAGACAAGCTCTTGGCTGTCACATCACAGAAAGACAAGGGCAGCGGAGCACCCCGGAGCCGGAACCCCAAGCGGGACCCAGGTTGTCAAGCCTGGCACAAGCTCGAAGGGAAGCGGTGTGGTGTGTCTCCTGGCCAAAGACTATGTCCTGGGCTTGCAAGACCAGTTCTTGGATGTTGAGGCCTGAACACGCTTCCCGAGCTACTCCACCACTGCAAGAACACGACGAATCGAGTTGTGCAGAAGTGCCCTGTGCTGTTTGAAGAATGGAGTCCCGAAAGACATAGGGCCTTAGGTGTCTTAGAGCTCGGTGCATGCCACTTGCCTCCCTGAGCAGGTACGTAGAGAAGCCTTTGCTCCTCTTTAGCGGCCGCAAGTTCGACCTGCGGCAGTGGGTTCTGGTCCGCTCATTTCAGCCACTTGAGGCCGACTCTACATGGAGCTTTACTCTGTGCGATCACGGAAGACGAAGAAAAATTGCAGCTTTGCTACGGCTTTTGGCGGAGATCAGTGTCTAGAGTAGAGATGGCCGTCTTCTTGCAGTTGAGCTCATCGACATGCGGGAATCATCAGTTGTAGAGGGGGATCGGAAAGAACCACCCTCACATCGTATGTCGAGCTTGGAAGCTGACTTACCCGGCGATAGGTGTACATGTTCTCCTCTTGCTACCTCCGCCTGTGCAACGAGCCGTACGACCTTGGCGACCTTGCGAACCGGCAGCGGCACATCTCCAACTGGTGTCTTGTACGCAAGATCAGCGAGCACGATGTATGAAAGTCGCATATTTGCAGGGTGACGGATGTTGCATCAAAGTTGCCGACACAGCGGCCACTAAGCAGTTGGGTACCGGTAACCTCCGATCGTCAAAAGTACCAGGTCGATGTACCAAGTGCAACAGAGGCCGTGCCTGCATGGGTTGAGGCGGCAGGTGCAATCGCACTACAATGAAGCACCAACTGAGCTTTGACATCAACAAATCCCGGCATCGCAACAAGTGACTCCAAGCCTGAGTCGTACCGTCAGATGGGCCTTCATCGGAATTTGTCACAGATGCTGCGGAAAGCCGACTGCCAAGCAAGCATGCACTCCTTCCTAAGTGCAACTCAACCTTAAGCTAGCTACTGGTCGTAATTTGCAGGTGGCAGCAACAGTGTGCAGTTTAGGCAAAAACCTGCCCAGAAGTTGTTGCGGGTCATCGAATGGCAAGCGGCAGCAGGGCTCTATTGACACCTAGGGTTCCGAAATGATGGGCCCCTGGGCGTCTCTCTCCCGGTAAGCCGTTCAAAGACTCATCCTCCAAAGCCGAACGCAGAATAACGCTCAACTTCAGTTTGCCTTCGGTACATTCATTCTACATTAATCATGGCGCTGCCAATTTCTCCCCGTGCCGGGTCAAGCCAACAAACGCTTGACTCGTATACCAAGAAGCTTGCCGTGGTCGATCAGTGCTTTCACCCGAGGTCTGTGAACAAGCACGGCAAGCATGTCGCTACTGGTGCCGTGGCCAGCCTCAGTGAGCCACTCTGCCTACAAGGGTGATCGCAGCTGGCGGCGTTTGTTGGGATTCCAGGTTTTCCTTATGGGCCACATGAAACATCAAAGAAGGCCCGCCACAACCCGACTTTAGTCTAAGAAATACTCGGACGTGACCTGCGGGTACTGGATTAAAGCACAGGCTCAACGATGTGCTGGAGATGATGACCGGCAGCAGACTCTTGACATCAGATTCTGGGGTTGCCGCACAACGGGGCTGTTTCGAGAGATCTTATCTGATCTGAGCTTCGAGGAATTTAGGGCCTCCACAGAAGCACCGTTTCCTGCGAGGACACTACTGGGAAAACGATCTCGTGCCGAAGTTGAAGGCCGGCTGCGAAGTTCTGCTTCTTCCGTCTCATGACAAAAGCCCTGTACATGACAGACAGTTTTCCGGCAGAACAAGCTCTTCAGGAAGACTTGAACACATCTTCCGTTGTTTGAGAGTGACACTGCGGCCCAAGGTCCGAGGTTCCGGTTCCGGAGGTGGTGGTTCTGTTCGCTAGATGATGCTACCTTCTTCGTCTGCTCCCCCTTGAGGAGTGCATCCTGCACAGCCTCCGATCGGTGCAAGATCGCGTGGTTCAAAGGCCGGGCATGAGGGGAGCAGACGTTGAGTTTGTTTCCATGACACACTGGAAACGTTCACTCTCGCCCGAGCAGTGTTGAGACGTGTTAAGGTCGTTAAATCGAAGCACAGCCCGGCCGAAGGAAGTCGGGAACACATGCTTGCTGCCTTGGCTGATGCTTGCACTTCCTCGGCTGATTCTTTGGAACCTTCGTTGGTTCATTCCTCCCCAGATGGAGCCTGTCTCACGACACTCACCACAAAAATTCAACGCAGGTTAGATTAAACTGGTGCACACATTCAGGATTGCGGCACGCTGACAGCATTTTGATGCGTGTCGGCTTGAATTCCAACCGGGAGGAATGGCAAGGCTAGAGCAGGGCTGGGTCTAGATTTGCGAGTTTGGATGAGACATGATGAGGCGTCTGCAGCTGCTGACGACACAACACGTCATGTACAGAGGCCCCAAGGCCCCCAGACCTCCAAAACGGAGCAATGTTGCCAGGGGCAAGAAAAACTTCCATATAACTCACGGGGAAGACCTCACAAGTGGAAGCCTGTGCGAGCCACAGATACTGCGCTGAGCCCCCCACTTGAAGAAGGTCTTCGTGCTTCGAAGTCTATGGCTTTGATTTCCTGCTGGGTGAAGACCTGAAGCCTTGGCCCCTTGCTGAAAGCATTTTGGCTAAGGTGGGGTTCGCGCAGGTTGAACTTGAATGAGGGGCGGATCGGCTTGAGACTCACTTGCTTTCGGATGTTGTACTTCGGCTTGATCACCACCCCAATTGCCGAGTGCAAAGCTCCGACTCCAATTTCTTTGAAGGGCCGGGGTGGCTGGACAAAACATGACAAAACCAACAAGTGGCGCAGTGTGGTACTGTGCCTGCTTATCTCCCCTAAACCTCACTGTATCAGCCATGTCCTTGGCTGCAGCTACGTACGACTATGTACTCCGAACAGGGCCTGTGTAGGTCTTGGAGCTTCGAGTTTGCTGTTCGGGCCAGGTTTGCGCTGGTGTTTGCTTTCAAGTTTAGAGTTTAGTGTGTGACTCTTGTGTTGAGAGTGTTTGGGTTCCTGACATGTTCAGTTCAGCTAAACCCACTGGCAGAGCACAGCCTCAATGACAGTCGAGGCCCAGAACTGCAAACACGGCAAACCCCCCTCCGAGTACTTGCAGCCAGCACCGCCACACACATTCGCAGGCCGGAAGCCTGGAAATCCAGGTGAGCCGACACCCTGTCAATGACCCAACCGCGCCCCTAAGGCCTCAAGGTTTGGGTCACTTGCGGGCATCACATTCATCGCCCCTGTTTGCTAGGTTCCTGCCCGAGTTCTGCAAGCAGTTGGGATTTCCGTAGAACTCAAGCAACATCAAAACTTCAATAGGCCTTAGTTCTGAGGGCTTGGCTTGGGGCTCTAGCATTATATAGCATCAGTGCGAGGCTCCTGGAGGTCAACTTGAGCCCGGCATGCGAATCCCGGACCCCTTGGATCTCGGAGCTTTTGGAGCGCCGCCCGGGCAGCGCTGCAAGTTTTTTCAGTCTAGATTTGCCTACTCCTACTCTGACTGGGCTGGCCTTAACCCGAGGGCTGGAGGTGCTTGATCTGATGAATCGCCAGTCTTCAAAGTCGTTTGCATGGCCCGCTTACCTGAGCATCCTTAGCAGGGACACGGAACACTCTTCTCGAAATGCAGGCCCAAGGCATTTTTGCCCCATACGGCTTGGAGCGAGATCACTGGATGCCTCTGACACAAGTTCCATTTTGAAGCGCGACACCTCAGACAAGACTTCCTGCCCTCTGGTGACACACTTCACGGGTTTATGACTTTATGAGCTAGTGATCCGGGTGATCCGCTTTAACGATCTGCCACAGTCGAGTTATCAAGCAAGTTGTTTGTGAAGCTTGCAATGCGACCAGCCGCGATTGAGGCATGGCCACGAGGCTGTTGGAGCTGGTCTTGAATGGCCTGCTGCAAGCAATGCAGATCTTAGGTTTAGAGCAGGCTGTGGACATACAACCTTCACATTGGACAAGGGCGAGTAGATTAGCAGACGGCTTTGGGACAGCAAGTTTGGGAATCGGCGGAAGCCTGCATCCTTATGGAGTATGCATGGCAAGCTTTTTTGCATAGTGGCTGGTGCAATGTAGAAATAAATCGAAAAGAGTCGGAAGCAGCCCTTTGTCGAGCCTGCTTGCTCGCTACAGTGTGCCTTTCTGCATGCTTCCTGAAGAACCTCCAATGCATGGTTACAGTCAAGAATTGTAAGCGTTGTTCCATGGCAAGACGAAATGTCTTACATCCCCTACTCTGGCAAGTAACATGTGTGTGTGTGTGTGTCGGCGGCTTAGGCCATTTGGAACCAGATGGACTTGCGCCTGACTGGCCCCGCGCTCTGAAATGTCTAGGCTTTGCTTTGCATGGGATTTCAAGGGTCAACCTGTATTGAAGCATCCTGTTTTTGTGCTCCGCTTTGAGACGAACACAACCACTTCTGGCTCGCAAAACAATTCTTGGCCGGCGCATGCTGAAGCTGATCCCTTGCAATCGCCTCCAAACTGTGTTGGAGAAAGCGATCCTCTCGGATTGGCTTAGAAGATGGCGTAGCTCTTCTCAGACTAGAAGCACCCCGAGGCCGCTTTCGGAGCTAAAAAGCTGGGACACAAACTGCCCGAATGTTGTCCGAAAAACCAAAGCGCGGGTAGAAGGCGCTGCCAAGCCCCAATCCTAGCAGTTTCTCAGGGTCTGCATCGCTGACGAGACGCCGGAGCCGGGAGTCGGCCAGCCTGATGAGCGTCCCCTCGATCTGCCACTCGTCCTTGTAGACGTCAGAATCCGTCCTTGTCAAACCGGATAAGCTGTTGAACCAACCGAAGAACCTTTCGCAATGGTCAAAGCTCGTATGGCGGCCTTTGCCATGATCATCATCACCAACAACAACTTCAATTGTCATCGAAGACACCGTTACCATGATCGCCACAAGCACAACCCACGGCATCCCCGAAACCGTTGAAAGGCCGGATGCCGACGCCAGGGGTCGCGATTTTTTGGCGGATTCCCTGGGGCGATGTGCATTGGGGCGACGCGGCCGCCCTTGCGGTTCAATGAAGTCGATTTAACATGAGGAATAGACGATTTGCTTGGTCAGGTGCTTGCGGGGTCTTGAGACAGCTCAGATTGCAAACAGCTGTGCTTTGCGGGTGGTGTCATGGGAATCTTGAGCCAACCGCCATTACCACGACAATGTAGAAGTTGGGAGCTCTGAGGGAAGAAACATGAGGAAACCTCGATGTTATTCAGACACTGGCTTTTTGTACTACAGATTGACTTTCTGGCTTTTGAATATTTGCAGCGATCGCCGAGCCCTTTTTGGACAGTTTTCTTCATGTGTGCTTTGGAGCTTGTCATAGTTTTAATGGCCTCAGACTCAGTTTTACCTTTACGAGTGCCCTGACGTGAGTTCCTACGGCTCGGTCAGCATCCTTGGCTAACTGCAAAACTCGAACCCCAAAGACCTAACTCCAAGACTGACGATTTGGGAACATGGGATGGCAAGCCGCGAAATGTACATGGATTGGGTTAGTTGACTGGTCTTGGATGTCACAACCTTGGGCTAGGCCGCACGCTTAAATTGCCTAAATATTGCCGACCGCCAAGCTTTTTCAAAGTTTGTGCACCCGACTGGTTTCCTCCCATCGCTTGCGAATCCACAGATTGACGAGCGTTTTTTTCCGGCTTTCGTCTTGAAGCCCTGCCGTTTTTGGACCGGAGAACCCCGGCCCCTCCCCCACTTTGCCCAAATTAGGTGAACCGTGCCCGCCACGCGTGAAGCCTAGATCACACCGGCCCCCCGTGAGGCTGACAGTGGTGGGAAAGGCTCTGAACCTGCGGGCCGAACGTCGATTCGGCGAAGCCTGGCGCCAAAGCGCGGCCCAGGCTGCTTCGGGTGTGGGGTCTGTGTCGTATGCGACAATGGGCTTGGAATGCTTAGCCCAAAACCCTGAACATCCCTCAACCCTGTCTTCGTTCCTGACAGGTTACCATCGCCCGATTTGTGCGGGGCTTTCTGGTACGACACCAAGGAGAGATCATCGCGCGACAAAACGCTGCAAAGATTCTCCAGCGTCGGGTCCGTGCCTGCATCCTGAATGGTGCTTTCAAGTTGTGTTCTCAGTTTGGGGAAGCTGATGGTGAGCCTCTGAGCCGATTGGGCTTGTAACAACGTGGTTGAAGCCTGCCAAGGTAAGAATTCTACTGCATGGAAAGGTTTGGGTCTAACTACACTTTTTGCGCAACAAGTCCTCGATCTGTAGACCTGTGCATTTGCTTTTCCCACCCTCTCGTCAATGAGGCCATGTCTGGTTTCTGGTGCTCTGTGGCTCTGTGTCAAGATTGTTCAGCGGGCCAGCGGAATGAATTCCTACCAAAACTTCTCGGAGTATTTCTCAAAGGCAAAGCGCCGCAGCTTGCTGCTAACAACGCAGTTGCGGCAGGTTGTTGCAGTCATGCTTCGTACCCATCGCAAGATCACGAGCTGCCCTTGCAGTTGCAAGTAGGCTTTCAAGCGGAAACCAAACTTTCTGAAGCCTGTAAACTCGCAGGCTTGGGTTAGAGGGGCTTGAAGGCTTGCAGGGTTCTTGAGGATGTCCAAGCTGCAGGAGCTCAGAGCTCCTCTCAGGTGAATGGCGAAGGAGACGCGCCCTGGAGATGCGCTTGAAGATGGCAGCCTCAAGGCTGTGGCAGGCGCGCATGCGTGGCTATTTGCGCCTCGCCTACCTGACGTGTTTATAGCACTTTTTTGCTCGCTTCGCTTTTGCCTCAGCCCAACAGTTCGAAAGTTAAACACAGCCCCTTGAGCCTGTCCGGATGGCAGCCAGAGCGGTCGTAGCAGGCGTTCCTCATGCCAGCACTAGCAGCTATTAGCAGGTTGCATTCAGTTCTCGCCTGCTCCAGCGACGGAGAACCTCTGACGCTTCGGAAATGTCCGCGAGCCTGTCCTAGGCTGTCCTAGGGCCGAAACAACCGGCTTTGTGGCTGGCCTGTAACCGTAGTGTCAACATTGACTAAGTACCAGCACTTGGATGACCTTGTGCCGCACAAGCCGTTCATTCCTGCCTTTTTCAGCCCTTGAACAGATTTCAGGTCTTTCTCTCACAGCCCAGGTGTTCCATGCTGTTGAACGAGATCAAGCGACGCGAAAGGGCGAGGCTGATGAAGGCCAGAAGCCTCAACGAGATCCTTTACAGCATGAGGCATGCGATAAGCGCTTATGCCTCGCCTTCACGACAAAAAGCCGTCTGGTGAACAGACGCCATTTCTCGAAGCATCACACGCAGATTTTGCTTCTGCAGGCTCGACGCCGTGAAGCTGCAAAGCAACTGCAGGCACTCCGGGACCTGCAGTCTTGCGCCTGGGTTTCCACTGGTTCAAAAACGTTCAAAACCGCTGTTGCCTAAGCGGGTTGTGCAATGTATGTTTCGGTGCTATTGTGCGACATGCGACCCACCACATGTGCCACAAGGCGGTCTGGGTCCAAAAGCCGACACCCGGTCTCCAGTCTTTCCATAAGCCGAAAAGAATCGTAAGTGCCGAAACGCACAACCTCAACCTCAACAGCACACTACCCCATGCTACAAACAAACAAATAAAGCACCCCCACCTCACCTTCAAGACATTGATTGCTAAGATTCAGCAAAGAAGGCACCATTGTCCTCCTAACCGTGCACCGGTCAGCCTAAAAGTCGCGAATCCGGAACTCCAGTGCTGCTGGCGCGGTCTCCTCGGACGCCGAGCTGCTCGCGCCCAGCGGATGCTCCTGGCGGCGAGGAGCTGCCAAGGGAGGCTTCTGTGAGGGTCCCACTGTAAGCAGTGCTCGAGAGGTCCTGATTTGTCCTTCTGTCCATGTGATTCTGGGCTAAGTTGTCTGCCGCCTTACAGCACATTGGCTTCGAAATCTGGAAGAGGACCGCTGCAGGCCATGAGGCCTTTGGTCCCAGGTTACACAAAATCACTGCATAAAAATTATCAACCATAAAATCTGCATCCTATAACCACTGATGGTGGACCCATCCATGCACCCACCAACAGGTGCTACAAGTACACAGACGTCAAAACTGTCAGCGTGAAAGGGCCGCAGCTCGCACAAAGCACTGATAGACTCGCGACACCAACAAGCATACAAACATAGACCACGACACAAGACGAAAACACAACCCAAAGGGGACGAAACACCAAACAACACTCACAGACACAAGAAGACGAAACACAACACTACAGATCAACTACCGAAAAAGCAGAAAATAAACACAAATTCATACTCAGAGGGACAACCCCAACAGAAGACAACGACACGGAGAACGGTAGATACAGAGCCTGAGACAGCAACGACATGCACAGATAAGGCGGACGTGCATTGCATGAGCATTAACATCACGAGCATACCCGCGTACGCGCCCAGAGCAGCATTAGACATAGACTGCAAAAAGCACTGCACCATAGTACCACCCAGTCCTGACGGTACAGGACGCACAACAGCCGGACGGTACCGGTCTGTTTCTCAGAAAACCAGTGGGCGGAACCACTGGCTACCCCATAAGCAAGCAAAGCAGCACCAAAGCATGATTAACTACCAAAATCAGACAAGAGGCTCAGCGCTTTTTGTCCCGCTCTTCCACGAGCGAGAGGCGGGTCCCCGCAGCCCTTTTGCCAAGCCCGGACACCCCCTGTGAGCCCTTACCAGAACCAGCCGCGCCCTTCCCACCAAACCAGGCCTTAACCTCATCCGGCGTGTGCCCCAAGTCCTCCAGCACCTTCCGTTGGTATACACACCACCCTTCTTGGCTGCCGGCGAACGGAGCAACTGCGACACTGACAGACCCCCCCACGACGGACGAAACAGGAGCACGAACATCCACGGTTTCGCGACGTATTCTGGTGGCTCTCGGTTTTGCACGGACTCCACGACGTCTTCCGGCCTGAAGCCTCGCAGCCCCCCCCAGAACCTCCTGGTCAAGCCCCTGCTCCGCCAACTGTTCAACGAGCAGGTTGAAGACCTGCAGCTTGAACGGTACGACTTTGGTCTCGCTGGACGCCGCTGCTGCCGCCGCTGCACCTCCCTCCTTGGCCCTGCTGGCTCCCGCTTTCCAACCCGCCCAGACTTCCTCCAGCTTTGCCCGGCACGGCCCCTGGACGAAAGCCACCCATTGCCTCTGGACTTTGTCCTTCCCAACCCCCTTCGCGGTAGCATTCGCGAGGCACGCCACGTTACGAACTTGGGACTCAAGAGCATCCACCCTCGCCGCAACCGCCTTCTTCTCCGTCATGCTACCGGCTTACCAGAGCTGAGCAAAAGCTGCGCTACAGATGGAAACGTTTGAGGTGATACTCAAACTGATGCACACTCTTGAAAGTCTCGCTACTCTGGTGATCTCGGAGACACAAAGCGCAAGGAGCAGGAAAATCTTTTTCCTCGAACCTATGGTCCGCCGCGATATGCAATCTCAGGCTAGGAGCACCAGGCCAATAACCTAGACAGAAAGGGCACATGAAAGGGATAGCGAGCGCGTGATCATAATTAACATGCCGTGTGAGCCACATTTCCCTCTCGAAAGAACGCGGACAAAACTTACAGTCGAAACCTGCCTGCCGAAAAGTGCCTACCTTGTGCGTGATTAACTTATGGTGCGACAGGCCGCCCTTAGTTGTGTACCTTCGCCCACATCCAGGAAAATCACAGACGTAGTCACCATCAGAAATATCGGTGGTCTTAGGCACATTCCGAAGATTCCAATACTTCGTACGCACTCTAGGTGTGCCGTCCAAAATAGCCTTGGCATCATCCTGTTTTTTAACGTACCATGCTGGAGGACGCATCTTTCTAGAAACCCTTCGCGGAGTGACACCGGTATGAGAAGAACGCGAGGACTCCGGCAAGTTAGATTGCAGGGTGATAAGAACAGTGGACACCAGCAGCCTAAACATGGCAAGACCACCCTCCGTTTCCGCGTCCTGGAAACTCCCTTCCACCAAATCGCAACACAACTCCTCCATATCCACCTCCGGATTTGTGCGCACCCTTTCGCGAACATCGGCCGTCAGCGTTTGCACCAATTTTTCCCGACCCTCAGCCGCCAGTTCCAACCTCAAAAACGCACTTCTGGACGCAAGATCGTTCTGAAGACGGTCAGAAGCCTGGATTAAGCGCTGTTCATGCCCTACCCTCTTTTTCAACTGGAACACCTTTCCCCTGGGTAACTGAGTCCTAGGTGGGGGCGGCACATTTGGGATAACCGCCAGTGGCTTGTGCCACAACGCCACACCCGCAGTTTTTTGTTTCCAAAGAGTAGCACCTTCCCCACTATTTGCAAACTGCAACCACCCCTGCCGGTCGATGCCTGCTGCAGTAAGATCCTTGGCAAAGGAGTCACGCAACCGTTTCCCGGACTGAAGGCCAGGCTTCCTAGCTTGACCAACATCAGTTGGAAGAACACCAAACAAAACACGTTTGGGGATTCTGTGATCCGGCATACGACCTACATGACCAAGCCACCTAAGCCGACATTGGCAGACAAGATCTGCAATGGAGGGGACACCCAGCCACGCCCTCAGGTCATCATTGGAAAGTGAATGATCCCGTTGGTATCGCAGCCCGTAACCCGAAAGCCGCCGCAAACAGATCATGTGAAATTTCTCCAGTTTTTTCCGCACCGGGTAGGTATGCGTCCACACTTCAGCCCCATACAATAAAACAGACAGAACACAAGCGCGGTAGACGCTAATTTGGGTGCTTATGGACAACTGCCGGACGTTCCACACAGAACTATTGAGAGACCAAAACGCTTTTCTAGCTTTCTCCAACCTTTCCTTGACCGCCATATCACCCGAGCCATTTCTTTGAATAATAACACCAAGGTATTCAAGGTACTCGGAGAACTTTACAGCGTCAAAGCCTTCGAATTCCTCGACTTGAATAGGTGCATGCATACCCGGAGCAGACGACATGGCTTCAGTCTTTTCGACCGACAATTGAAGACCCCATTCCCGAAGATGAAGCTGGAAACCTTTAGCCATCCCATGCAGTTGCGAAATCTTATCGGCAATAAGTGCAGCATCATCAGCATAGCCTAGCTCATGAAGATCTAATGCCTCCCAAGACGAGTATTTGTCCTGTGCTTCCCTGTGTAACAGTGCCCCATCAATTCGAGTGAGCCAATGTACCCCTCCACCAGACTCTCCAACCCAAGCCTCAACAACAGCAGCCAAGAAAATATTGAAGAGCAGCGGAGCCACACAACACCCCTGCCCAAGTCCTGTTTCCAGCTCAAACTCTTCGGACAAGCCACCTTCCACACTAATCCTCGCCTTCTCACTCGAGTAATAGTCACGTAGAATAGAAATGATCCTGGGTGGGACGCCCTTTCTTTTAAGCACTGCCCAAACACCCGCGCGAGCAACGGAATCGTGCGCTTTAACGAGGTCAACAAACAGAACATGAAAGGGGTGTTTCTTGTAGTCCGAAATTTCCATAGCCAGTTTCAAAGCAAACACCATATCCATCGTCCCTCGCCCGGGTCTAAAGCCACACTGAGTTTCAGGTAGGAGTCCCTTGGTCTCCGCATACTGGGCCAGCCTGGCGTTAATGACCCTTGCAAAAACCTTACCCGGAATGGACGCCAACAAGATGCCTCTCCAACGTTTGCATAGCGTTAAGTCGCCCTTTTTTGGCAAGGGAACTAAAAACGCCTCCTTCCACTCCTCCGGCATAGCATCAACACCCGTCCACACACGCGCAAAAAATTCATGTAGCGCTCTCAAGTTAGTAGCATCCATCGCGCTTAAAATTTCAGCCTCAATTCCGTCCGGACCAGCAGCCCTGCCCGACTTCAGACGACCTATGGCTGCAAGCGTCTCTTCAAAACTCGGTACGTCATCCAAACTTAAATCAGGCACAATTCTGGCAATCTTGTCCATTTGGTACATCTTTACATTCGTGGGGACATTCAACAAGTCTTTAAAATATTCTCGCCACCGGCAAATCCTTCCTGACCTGGTTAATATCAGATTACCCTTAGCATCGCGAAGTTTGCACGGACTTTTCCTGCCGATCGCCAAAACACGCCGTAGCTCCTTGTAACCCGCAAACTGGTAATTGTGATCCTTGGCATCCACCCTCGCTTGTATTTCCGTCGCCTTTGCCACCCACCACGCATTAATAAAGCCTCTCACCTGCTTTTTGACATCTTTGCACTTCTCCTTATATGCCTCGGACATAAACCCACCAGGAGCATGTAGAGCCACCTGACGTTTTTCCTGGCTAAGGCGCGCTAATTCTTCTGCATACACTATCTTCCATTCTGGCCCCCCTCGTTTAGGTACCTCGCCAAGACAACGTTCCGCCACTTTGCGCACAGCATGACCGAACAACGGGTAGCCTTCATCAAAGAAACCTTCACTCATAAGTGAATGGAGCTGCATGTTGAAGTCATCAGACGCCTGGATATCCTGAAACCCACCAACCATCAACCTGGGAGGACGACTTTCAGGGCCTGCTTTAATGGACGACCCATAAAATTTTTGCAGCATCGCCTTGGGTGGCACCGCCATTTGCAAACGCAAAAACCTATGATCCGTATTGTGTACATACCCCGGCATAACCCGCACATCCGTAATTAGACCCAGAGTTTGACGGGAAGAAATTACATGATCAATCTGAAACCAACACCGTGACGATTGATGAAACCACGTGCCGTACTCTCTGTGCTGAAAGAAAGTGCTCGCCACGCGAAGTTGTTTCTTACTTCGGCTTGCACAGAAATCCAAAAGCCTGACACCATTGTCATTACGTTCAGGTAACCCGTGTCCGCCAACCATTTCGTGAACCGTAGGTGAATCATCCGACGAGTCCTCATTCGCCAACCCCACTCGCGCATTAAAGTCGCCCAAAATAACTATTTCATCTTTCCGCGGGATTTGGTCAACCATTTCACCCAGCACCTCATAAAAATCTTCCTTCTCCTCGTCAGAACAACGGAACGTAGGAGCTAACACGAAATAACGCTGAAAAAACGCCTCCTAACGCAGAGCCTAATCCGCATCAACCGCCCACCACCATACTCACAGAACTGATCCGCGTCTTTCCACGCCCTCTGCATGTCGCTGTTCAACAAAAAGCCAACACCCTGCATTGCCTTTTCCGCCTCGGCCTCAATGCCTGAAAAGAGAAACAACCATTCATCATCCACCATGATTTGTCCTTCGCCTCTCCACCTGTGTTCTGAAATAGCACATAGACTAATCTCGTGTGTCTTCAATTCCAAACATAAGCTATCGATCTTGGTTGGGTCGTTCCCCCTGATAGTAACCTCCCCGTTGCTTGTAACATGTAGATAAGAGTGTAACGTCTGCACATTCCAACATCCCCAATTGAGCTTAGGCCCCATACGCCACCTTCGCCCTTGCTGTCTCCGCCCCTGTCCGGGCGTCACAGTTGGATGGGAGAGCTCCGGTGGCAGCGCTCGAGTACTCGTAACCCGTGCGGTAGCTAGAAGATAAGTGCAAACGGGAAGCCAACCCGAGTGCACTGTTGGCCAGAAGCCTAGCATGGATTGTCTCCCTAAGGAGACCCTGGTTCCATGTTCAGCATCCTAGCCCTACTACCGTTAGCCTCCTGCATACATGTCAGAGAACACTAGCCCGAAGCACAAGCACAACCAGAAGAACACCAAACACCGAGTCACGAAACTAAATGCAGGAGTTGCCACCCCCCCACCGCGTTGAGGTGGTAGTCCGGGGGGGCTTCGAAATCCAAGTCTGCTGAATTCGGCGTTGAGTTTGCTTGCTGAGCCGCGAATCGCGCTCGCAATCCCCGGTACTGATTGGCCCAAGATGGGCCCTTAGAGCCTCCAAAGTAAATTGCAATCGACATGCATGAACACACCAGAGTGGAAGTGTGGTTTTTTCATAGTGCTCAGAGTGCTTCTGCTTTTAGATGCAGGGTCGGAGGCTTCGTGCCACAGGGCCCTAGGTCAAGCCAACCGCTTCTTTAGCTTGCAGATGATAGGGGCATGGGAGGATCAGAGGCTTTTGTGTCAAGCCTAACTTGCTTCGAGCCGAAGCCTGTTGCAATCTTTTATAGATCCTATTCACCGAAAGTTCGACCGTCTTAACGCACGGTAACAAGCACGTTCAGCAGCCCATGAGCCAACTAGTCAGTGACAGTCCTATCCCTAAACGGCCCTATACTCCAAAGTCAAGCCGTCAGGAGCCTGCAACGGTGCTGGCGAGGCCGCCCCGACATGCCGTTCTGCCGGTGAGGGGGGTTGTAGATGCTGCTACGGTTTTGTGACAGGACACACCTTCGATTGCCATGTAGGACGGATGATCTACCCTTTGTAGGAGGAGGGTTGAGAGAGGGCAGGTTGTCGTGCCATCCTCAGCTGAGAGCGCATGGTGCACAGGGGTGGCTCGAGTGTCCCATGCTTATAAGACTCTCGGCTAGCGTGGGCGTTCGAAGGTCACTCAGAGACCCAACCTGACCCTTGAAAATCCGTTGTCGGGAGACTGACATGGATTTCAGCTGTACAGCACTACTAACCAGCCTCAGTTGTGCGAACTTGTAAATCTCCAAATCCTCCAACCCCGGGCTACCATGTACCAAGAAGCCGACCTCGACATCCTCAGTCTCAATCCGAAATGTGAACGTCCAAAGCCGGAAAGCCTTAATGTTGAGGAAACTTGTTTTGGAGCTTTCTTACTATTTCTTACTGCATAGTCTCCATGTGTGGAGACTGGGTACAAAAAGCACAACATGCAAAGCAAGTGCAACTTCCTCAGTCGATGTCCTCTTCGCCATCCTCACCATTATTCTCCTCTCATCGCCGTGCTCGTGGGGCAGGAATCATGATCGTCATCGCCAAAGCAGCCACCCACAGCCGTCATCGTCACGATGGAGTTAGGAAGAGCCGCCACCACATCGACGCGCGTGAACCTTGCAAACGTCTTGAGTGATGTCTTCACACCTTCCGAGTGCGGAATCTGACAACCTCCAGAGCCCGCTTGCGGTGAGCGTCGAACACGTTAGACCAGATGTTGTCAAGGAAGTTTTGGAATGGCTGGAGCACAGGTTGGAGGTTCCGCCAGCGCCTTTGTGCCGTCAAGCGACTCGCACACTGGTGGCGACAGCTTTTGGCTGTCCGAGCGTCGGCAGCCCTGAGGCCTTTGGGTATTCGAGCTTCGGGGTATCGCGTCGGTGTCCAGGTTAGCCTGTTTGTGTCTGCAGGGGAATTAAAGGACACGGGTGGGTTTTAGCGAGCGGCATTCGCACGTCAGACTGGAAGCTGCGATGTGGTGTGGGTTATTGCAGAATTACTGTTCCTTGCATGGCTTTGCTGACATAGTGTTGGACCGGCCTTCGTGTTTGAACAAACATGATGACAAGCGCCGTATGGAATAGTGCTTTGGGTTGGGGGCCCTGCTTGTTGTGAGTCTCGTTACACAAAGCATGGAAGGTTCATCCACTCTCGAGTCCGAAGGCATCCATATCCTAGACTAGAATAACCGACACCAACCCGGTCACCAACCCAAATCGAAACTCCGGGTATCGGCTTTCAACAAAGACTCCCAGTAAAGCCTTGCCGAACACGCCTCGAAGCTATCGCATCCCTTTCAGTGTTCCAGCATGTGGTTTCGTTTTTTGAGCTTCAGGCTCCAAGCTTGGCTGCGTGGCCAAACAGCGCGAATGCGCACCCGACGGCTTCGAAGGATTTGTGGGTGGTCGGTATTGTAGATGAGGTGGGGACGACAAGAAGTTTCAGCGAACACTGCTCCAGAGAAGTTGCCGCAGCGGCAGCTGTGTGGCGGTGGTGCTGGTGGTGGTGGTGGTGGTGGTGCAAAATTCCCACTACAAAATCCTACCAGTTGGGATCACTCTAAATGTGAACAGTCTGTTCCCCAATCCTCACAATCAACAAGACACTTTCCTTCGTGCGATCAAGCAGTCGTCCAGTCTTGAGCCATTCGGCATCATGGCAATATGGTACAAGAAGAGCGGGCATGGGCTCGTGTCATTCAACACAGTCCCTTGATCTTGAAATTAGCCTAAGATCACTAAAAAAACAATAACGAGACAATGACAATCAGCAGTCAAGGAGAAAGAAAACGAACTAAACAATTGCACCGCATTGCTCTCATTCAGGACTTTTGCTCGAACACATGGAAACACTCGAGTCACTTGCCAAAGACGGAGGCACATTGCACTGTACATTCGATGTGCTCACAGTCGGGTCCTGCTCTGTACATCATTGAATCCAAGAATTTCATTCTCGGCAATCCGCTGAAGAAATCCATTCAACATTTCAACAAAAACGTTGCATTTCCAAGACACGTGGCATTCGATCGCGCACTCCTAAATTAAACAATCGGCTCAGTGCGCTCACTTGCCCTTGGCATTCATTCTGAGAATCACTTCTGCTCCAGGAATCAGAGCATTCGCGACCTGGGAAAGGACAGTCGCTGGGCCTTGGAACGCACTCTCTGCATTCCGCTTCTTCGAGGCAGTCGAGGAGGCGGGTCCATTCCAGGCATTCGCATTCTCATCATCTTCATCTCCATAGAGCTCATCCCAGGTGGAACAGTCGTTATCCAGTCCACCTCCAAAGGCCTGCTGCACAGGGACCATTGTGTGTCCCATCAGTCGCCATTCGACCAAGCCACTGTGAGGCAAGGTGGCAAGGCGATTCCATTCTGCCATTTCGGAGAGGCAGAGGAGAGGCGGGCCATTGTTGGTGAGCATCATTGGATCATTCAAGGGCATTCTGATGATGCCCACTCTTCAGGGACGCCTCTGGCACAGTCCAGATCCACTTCTTCGGCACATTCGCCACACCAGCAGGGACCTCAGTGGTGTCGGGGACGCCATTCTGGGTCGAGATGTGGTCCGTGAACTGCCTGTTGAAGTAGTTGTCTAGCTTCATTTTGCCATTGGAGGCTTCGACCCATTGGCGGTGGGCCTCCATTTTGCTCCTTCGGCGAAGCACGAAGACACTCCCTCCATGAGCTGCATTCTCCGCAAAGCAATCCTGGCAAAAACCATTGCACAGTCTTTCGCATTGCTGACAAGGCATTGAAACTGCCATTCAGCTGATGGCCCGGGAATTGCGAAAGATCAATCACGCCATTCTGGTAGAACTTCTCTCCCACACTCGCGGGAAGCATCACCCAGTCGTACACATTCACCAGATCATGCGTGACATTCTCCTTGGCATTGGGGCTGTACTTCCATTCGATATGCCAGTTCCCCTTGGTGAGGAACATTCTCTCAGCCCTGGTCATGCTCAAATCTGCATCCTGCCATTCCTCCACTCCTTGTTCCAGGAATCATGCAGGACAGTAGCGGGGCCCAATCCTCATTCGCCTCGCGGCGGTAGACAGCTTCAGCCAGTCCGACCTGGGCATTGTACAGTCGATCGGCAATCGCCGCGGCTTCAACAACAATCTTGTCACAGTCGACGTGGCTGTCAGTCGTGACAAACTCGTCCAATCGCTGCAAGATCCTTGTGACATCTTTCCCGAAGTCCAGTCGGGTCAGTGCCGCAGACACTTCCAGGTTGACAGGACCATTCCTGGACAGTCTGTAATGCACCAGCATCTCATTCATCACATGCAGTGCTTCGGCAGGGGTGCCATTCTTGCCAACACCTTTGCCAGTCGCTGTGCTGACAGTGGCGGCGGCAGCGACACTCGGGGCAGTGGAAGGCCGAGGTCGGATGCCAATCGCGGCATCAACGGCCAGGTTCCCATTCTGACTTTCATCGGGACCATCATTCCCAATCTCTGCATTCACAACCAAGACACCTGCAGTGTCCGGGATCACTCGGGTGAAGGCAGTCGGGCAGGCAACTTCTCAGTCAGGTGGAGAGACCAGTGTGGCCTGCACTCCTTCATTCTTAATCTCATCAACCGTGCGGCCAGTCAGAACGGGGGGCTAATCTGCAGCCAAATGCTCTCCAGTCAGATTCTCGTACTGGACTTCCGGAATAGTCGGCAACGAAGGGGCGGCCACTGCTACAGTCGAGCAAAGAGGCAGTCACAGAGGGCGCTCGGGACAATCTACAGTCGCACTAAGGAAAAGAACAAGAGAAAACGTGTCGGGGAAACACATTGTTCACTCAGCAAGGCAATTGTCTCAGACAGTCCCTTGCATCAGGACCTAAAAATCGCATTCACTAAATTCTGCATTTCTGCAAAAGGAATCCAATCTCATTCGAGATCGGCAAATCAGGCAATCGAAGAAATCATTTCGAATCGGAAAATTTCCTCTCATTCTCTCACTCTCTCTTTCTTTGGTTTTGGGCTTTTCAGGGAATCCAACAGTGCACATGCAGTCATGACAAGCAGTCGGCTTCACTTTGCATTAGACTCATTAGACAAGACAGCACAAGACAGCATTGACATGTTGCATTCACTCACTCAAGGACATGCACACTGCATTCAGCTGCAATCGGAAGCTCATGCACTCAGTCCCTCGACGCGGACTTCAGTCCACCGTCGCCCAAAAGAGCATTTGCGCGCAGTGTGTGCAGTGGAGTGCACGCACGCGGCGCGTGGGGCATGCGGTGAGCATTCAGGGCGGCAACATGATCATCAGCATCATTTGCATCAGAGGGCTCATTCCCCTTGAACCAATTGGAAACCACTCCCAAGTGTGTAATCAATCTTTGCAACACATCAGTGGCAACATACTTGGTCATTAGGTCAGCGGGGTTCCGCACTCCCTCAATCTTAGCCATGCGAAGCAAACCCATTTGCACCAAATTCTGAACATAGAGGAACCGCAGTTCCACATGCTTCGTTTTCTTTCCAGTGCCAAAGCGGGTTGCCATTGACTTGCCGGCAGTAGAGTCAGTGTGGGCAATCACACCAACCTTCTTTGCCAGTCCTGCCTCAAGCAACTTGACCGAAGGAACAGTGCTTCAGACACTCCTTGGCCAATCGCATACAATTCCGCTTCACCGGAAGACAATGCTAATGTACCTTGTGTCCTAGCAGCGCTGACCATGTTGCACCCAAGGACATTCACAATAGATCCACTGGTTGACTTTCTCGCTTTCGAGCAGCCAGCCCAGTCAGAATCCACATAAACATTCACATCCAAAGAGCAGTCGCCATCAGACAACTGGTACGATGGACGCAGTCTCACGACACACATATTGGTACCAATCAGGTATCTCAACAAATGCTTAAGCTTAGCGACACTCTGCATTGTCGGGGCAGTCACATCCCGACTT